AGTCCTGGCGACCGTTCCGTCCCTTGGGGTTCCCTGTGCCTCAGGCGCTGCGGCGAGGAGGTGTCGTGCCCAGGAGCCGGGCTCCCGCAGTGCCCGCTCGGGGGGCCGAGGCCTGAGCGGTGCTCGGCCGGGTTCGGGAGGTCGCGCTCATTGTTCGGCGGCTCCGTGGCGCAGTTGTTGTTGGCTGCTGAGGGTGTAGCGTTTGCTTTGCGGTGAAAGTGTGGCTGTAGGGTGTTAAGACCAAAGCAAAGGGTAAATGTTCCGCTGCAGATGCGGCTATCGGTGCTTGTGCTCCCGGGAGCATCTCGGGAATGGCCGGACTAACGTGTCCCCCTGTTTGTCATCGAGATTTTACTTTTTTTAAGCTTTTACTGTATGCAGTTCTTTAGGCCTGACGGAGTCTATCACTGCTACTGTCCCTCTAGTTTGATAGCAATTGAATTAAAACGTTCTTTTTGTGAACCACTGCTTCTCAAGTTATTTGTTCTCTCTGCCTGATAGCTGTTACAAGGTTTATTTTTATCTCGTTTGCATTGGCCTAGCACTGAATGCTTTGTTTTCTACTCTGTTAAGACCTGTATCTCATCCCTGAGTTGGTGAGGTGCGTTTATCCTCTTTGGGAGATGGTGAACTGAGACAATAAAGGTCAAATGTATTCAGGCGTGTGACTGTGCTGATTACTTGCATGACCTGTATATACCCTGCGTTACAGATACTTTTAAAATTTGTCTTAGTCACACATCTACATCATTAGGTGTCTTGATCCATTTAAAAACCTTTCCACATTATGGTGTACTTGCAGTCTTAGAGGAACATTATTTTTGGTAAAATAAGAAAGGAAAAGCCACTCTTACAAGTCCTCTACCAGTGCTCAAAATTTCCATTCTTTCATGGCTCTAACTTTTTTTTTTCTTCTCTTAGGAAGCCCTTACCAGCCGGTAATTGAAGCACTAGAAAACTATCCACAAAAGAAGTTCTACAATGTCTCAGAGCTTGGAGGCGCCAAGTATGGTAATGATCCTTTTACACTGTTTGCAATTAGGGTGGTACCAGCAGTAAACATTCACTGCGTACTGCTGTAAGATGTGAGGAGAGGCAGTCATGAATACGTGAGTTCTTAACAGGTGTATTTGAAAGCTTATAATTTTCCAGTCTGTTACTGCCTTGTGAAGTTGGAAGGGGATAACGCTTCATGTAGCCTTTTTTCAGTAAGGGAGAAAGTACAAGTGTTGCTGGAGTTTGCAGCAATGCTCCAAATCAGAATAATTTTTTTTAGTAAAGAGAAAGGAATTCTCTGTCACTTCATTTTTTCTATGTAGTCCTTCAAAAATAATGTTGGTTTTACCATGATTTTGTACTGCTGCTTGGTGTTCTAATTTCCATAAAGATTGGAGCAGCAGCAGATATTCCTGAAGATATTTGGAGAAGGACTCTAAAGAGACTAGAGTAAGTGTCTTTGTCTTCCAGTAGAAACTTCTGTGCATAAGTTGGAAGCCTCATAGTAACTACATATTAGCAAGATATTAAGTAAAATTTAGGCACATTGTGAGACAGCACTTGACAGCAAATCCAGCATCTGGAGTTGCTCATTGCATTTGTCACTAGAGCATTGATTTGGGGTTTTACCTGTTTGCCTTCTGCCTCGGGGCTTCTGGCTATAGTCTGACAATAAATGCCTGTTTAAGTTAATCAGATTACTAATGTAAATGGTAATTGATTTATTTGCCAATTTACTAAGGAGTATCTGATTTTCTAGTGTTTAAAACAGTATTCAGCTATGGGGAACATGGTATCTAGAAAAAGCTCAGAGTGATTTAGGACAGGGGGGGCGTTTGGAGATCTAGTCTGTCTTCTTGCTGGGACTAGAGCTAACTTGGAGAGCCTGGAGAGCCTCTCTCCAGTGAGCTCTGCAAATGTGCAAGGATGGAGATGTCACTGCCTCCCTTGATCCTGTGCCTAACCACCCACCCTGTGAACTCCTTTTTCCTTGTATCCAGTCACAGTGTCCCTTCCTGCGCCTTGTGCTTTTTTTTTTTGTCTTTTCATTGTGCACTTGTGAGAAGTCAGGCCATGTCTTCCCTGCAGTTCCTGTTAGGTTGTGGGTAGCTGTGGTCAGCTTGCTGAGCTTTCTCTTCTCAGGGTGAGCAAACCTGGGTCTCCAAATGGCTGCAGCAGCCCCATAACCCTCTCAGAAGGCCTTTTGCTAGATGTGATCTCATTTGTTGAGATCTGTATCCTGGGAGGCCAAAAACTACACACAGCATTGCAGATGTGAGCTTGCTAGTGTCCAGTAGAGAGAAGTAGTTACTTCTCCATAGCTGGTGGCTGCTAGGCAGCCTGTTAGACAGTTGGCTTTATCACTGGAGGAATGCACTGCGTATTATTTGCAATATAAGAAAAAGCAGAACAGTTTTCTTGTGGAAACTTGGCTTTTCAGTAAAGGGAGTGGTGGCACTGCAGCTGATAGACATGTTTTTGTGATGACATTCCTATTTATTTTGAGTTACTTGTCTAATTAGACAACAGTGGATGGTATCTGAGAAAGATGCACAATGAGAACAGAGTCAGCAAATCCTATAATAATAGTTTGGGGACAAACCTCTGGATTAGGTTGAGACCACCAAATCTAACTTTTTTTTGTTAAAACTTAATTCTTTCACCCTCTTCTTCCAACTAACGTTTTTATATTTCTCACTGTTCTCATACAGTCATTTGCCTGCTTGAATGGTGCTGAAAATAATGGGATTTGGGGAGAAATGTGAATAAATCTTAAATTTTTTTGTTTGCAGTGAATAGTGATAACTGCTTCTTTTTTCTCCTCACGCTTTTTTCATTCTTGTTTCCAGTTCTCTAAACTTTCTTGTGCCAGAAAGCTGCTTCTACTCAATTCTTTAATCCAGATCAGTAACAAAATAACTAAAGTTGTATTTAGTAAAATGTCATTCTTCTTTGTATTTTATGAAATGTGTTTGATTTTAGGGCACATGGCAGAATAGTTTCTGGTCTTTGTATTGGTGTTTATTAAAAAAAAAAATATTCTGGCATTGGATCGTTTTGGCTTGATATCTCAAGTAGTGAAATGGTAAAATTTACAGTTAAATATTTTTGACTATTCTGACTGTTATTGCTTTTCACGTACTCTGATCACTAATCTCAGCTCTAGATTCCTCGCATCTCTCTCCTGCCAGCACAGCATACCTTCCTAAATGTCGCTGTGTTAACACAGTGCGGTCAGGCCATTGGTATCTTCCGTTCAAATCCCACGTGATAACTCATCTTCTCCAATGTATACATTATGCAGCTCCCTGTTCCATATTGTGGAATGAAGTACAAACCCAAAGGCAGCTGGAAAAGCAGGCCCTTGTAGCTCTCATCCTTCTAAATCCCTAGCAAAGTGGAATTCTTTAGAAATGTGAGATTGTAGTTTTTTTAAGAACCAGGTAAGTGGAAGGTGGTGTTCTAATTAAGTCAGTCACTGTGCTTTACCCTAGATACTCTGCCTTATTCCATACGAGTGTTGTTTGAATCCAGTGTCCGTAACTGCGATGGCTTCTTAGTGAAAGAAACAGATGCTATGAACATCTTGGACTGGAAAACAAAACAGAATAATGTTGAAGTGCCCTTCTGTCCTGCCAGAGTTGTTCTTCAAGACTTTACGTAAGTGTGTGTGTGCGCCAAAACCACTGAAATAATCTGTGTAAATGCACTGAGTTGGATGTACAGTTCTTGGGCTTGAAGATAAACGGCACCTCACTGATACTGCAGTATGGCTTTGTCTCAAACCCGTGCCCTGCTGCTATTCATCAGATTCCTTGTGGTCATTACACGTGGTGCAAGGTTTGGAGTTGTTCCATAGGGTACCCCGGTTTTAGTGCAGGTTGGCAAGGCCAAAGCTGTTGGCCTACAGGGAACGCTTTACAGGAGAAGAGCCCAAACACAAATGGCAGCGGTGACATTTTGGCTGTAGCCAGGTGGCTGGTGATTCATTGAAATATATAGAATTCTTGCTTGAGATGACTGGAGATTAAATATTGCTTACTCCACAACTATAGGCCATCCAGCTGAATCCATGAATAATGCATATATTTAAAGAGAAGTCTCTTAGGATATTAACTTTCTTTGTGATTTGAGTGTGGTGTAGCTAAAAGGGTAGTCCTTCAGCAATTTGCAAATATTAAATTTGTTTGTCTGACTGATTAACAATATATTTATCAAGAAGTGAGATAAAGGAATTGTGAAGTTACTAATAAAAATGAGATGACTTTGCTTGCTAAGCAGAAGTTATGAAGATTTATATAGTACTGTGTTATAAAAACACTGTCCTCAAATTTTGTCCTTCAGGTACGCTTATCTATGTAATGGCAACAAGCATGTTTTTGTAAAATGCTATGAGCTTCAGAAATGGCTGGCTCTGTAAGAAAAGTACTAATACACGCTAAGGTGTTGAAGTGTATAGTGCAAATGTTGTTTACATAGCAAGGTTCTACTGTAAAGGTAATAAATACCTAAAAATTAGTTTTGTAGTAAAGTACCGTTGCACTTCAGAAGCATAGCAGAACAAAAGAGAAATGTAATTCTCTTTAAGATGTTCCTGTGTTCTTGTTTGGTATGTTGTCTTCAAATATGCTGTTGCTTGTTGTGAATGTGTACCAACTCCATTAACTTTTAAAAATGTTTCAAGTTCTTTAAAATTTAGAGAATAGACTAGTAGGAGTCTATTATCTGAAATAGAGCTTAGGTAAATCTAGACTTAAAGTTAAAATTGAAAAGCAACTTGTATGTTTTAGTGAGTTAACGTCTCATGATGTTATACTATTTTGTTTTTCTGTCTGTTAGTGGAATTCCAGCAATGGTGGATTTTGCTGCCATGAGGGAAGCTGTGAGAAATGCTGGAGGAGATCCTGCGAAAGTCAATCCTGCCTGCCCAACTGATCTCACTGTTGACCATTCTCTGCAGATTGATTTCAGCAAATGGTAACGTACCTCTTTTTTTTGATGAACTGTACATTTTTGGCTGATGCTGAACTCTGGATTCATTCTGGTCTTGGTACTGGCCCATCAAATCATTTGTCATGCGTGGATCCCCGAAACTACACCTGATGGTATCTGAAAGAGGGCTGGTTAGAAACATATGCAGTAACACTCTTGAAAGAGAGAAAGAGTGGTTGTGAGAGGTTATGGATGAAGCTGACCAACAACCCAAATTCTGGGCAAGAGATCACTGAAATAACTGGATCTGTCATAGTTTCCAGAAAATAGGATGTCTTAAGAGAGTGAGGCAGATGGAGTTTGTGATTTTGCTTTGCCTGGGTTGTACTCTTTAAATAAAACTTTTTTTACAATGTGACTGGCTTGTCACAGCTCCAGCAGAGCGACTTGGAATCCTGCTGGACATACTGAAAGACTGTCATTTCAGCCAATAGCTTATGATTTATTTTTGCCTTTTTTGGGCCTGGGTTTTACAACAGATTGAAAAAGGCTGCATGTATTTGCAGAGAGAGAAGTGTGCTTGTCGGAGTCTGGAAAGAGTATTGAGACTGGAAAACTGACAGCCTGGTTTTCCTTTTCTGATAAGCAGTAATGAGATGAGAACAGCCTGGGGCTGCCACATCATCCTGCAAAAGAGGAAAAACTCACGTTTTGTTCAGTGCTTGCTGAAGTATACACTATGTAAATAATGCAGCTCCCCTGCTCCTTCTCCCTCTGTCATGGAGCCTTTCCAGCTCACACAGAATTGTGTGAATTGCTCAAGCTCTTGGGGAGTTTAAAAGAGCATGGGCAAAAAGCCTGTGGTCACATGGAGGGGTGTGTACGAGTCATTTCTGTAGACCTTCCAGAGACATAAAAGATTGCAGTTTGGTTACTATAAGAAGAGCAAGAAGCTGCAAATCATGAGTTGTTGCCTATGTTTTGTTTCAGCTCTGTGGTCTGTGTGTTCTTGTGTCTGGAGGGACAGCTGATCCCATTGCAATTAGGCTAGCCTAGAATTATCAGAAGGACCAAGTGTTGGCAAGAGGTCTCAACATGCTGCTTTGTAATGATAAATCCGACTTCTGTAGTTTCACTTTTGGAAAGCTTACAGGATCTCAGCAGCTGCTGGCCTATGATAAGAAACCCTTGGCTACAGGATGGTTTGTGCCTCTTCTATTCTATTCTATCTCCTGCTGATCAGAGGCTCCTGGGCTCGGGTGGGATTTAGACACGGTATCCTCTGAGGCCATGCAATATCCTGCAGTTCGATAACCAAGTATCTTTCTGTGTTACTAAAGCAGAAGAAAGCAGTGACTTTAATTACAAATCCATGATTTGGTAGATGTTGAGAGGTGAAAAGTCATTCGTTTTTCACAACAAGCTTTCTTTGCTCTCATGTGAAGACTGAATACTGTTCAAGGGTAGCTTGCTATATGAACTTTATTTTTAAAAGAAAAGAAACTTTTTTGACTTACTTCTGACTTGAATGAAATCATAAAGTTTTGTTTCTTTCCTTGAGAAAGCTTTGTCTGTAATCATTCCTCTGTGCATTTAACAAAACCTATACAGTACAATCCTAAAAAAAGAGACATGTTCAGGATGCCCTCCATTTGGATGAGGCTCTGCCTGCACCTTTGAAGTTTAAATCCTGCTAACATTGGTTATAAAGATTTCTGGCCTGGTTGTGAGCAAGTTGAAGGAGTTGTTTATTTGGTGTTAATCTTTCAGGCAGTCCAGTTCTGTTCACTTCTTAGTACGCTACATTAGTTAACTAAGCTTATGCAGTGGTAGTTCACTTTGCAACAGGATTATAGTATAACAGTTTTTTTCAGATAATACTTTATCATCTGTTGAAGGGGTTGCGAATAAACAAAAAAGCGACATTCCTAATGTCTGAATTATTCTTCTATTTGATGTTAACAGTGCAATACAGAATGCTCCAAATCCTGGAGGTGGTGAGTCACAGAAGCCGATGGCAAAGCTTTCTCCACTTAAAGCACAGCCTCGGAAGCTGCCTTGCAGGGGTCAGACTGGCTGCAAAGGGCCATGTAGCGCTGGAGAGACAAGTCGCAACTCAGGACAATTTTCTGCGCAGATTGAGAACACACCTATCCTGTGTCCTTTCCATCTTCAGCCAGTGCCTGAGTATGAAAGCTTTCTTTTTTTTTAAAATTATTTGCACCCTTCTGTGTTGTGAAGCACTGCGTGTGACTGTTCATAGAGATGTGATTTTTTTTTTTTTCGGCAAGCATCCTTCTGTGCTGTTCTTCACATGTGTGCTAGACAGGTTTCAGCATCTAGAAGAAGGTCTGATGTCACGCATTTGAATTAGTCTACATTAAACTTTTTAAAAGAAGGGCTTTACTAAACACAATGCAGATGGCCAACTGTGTGACTCATGGCTGTGATTTTTTTTAATTAAATTTTGAGACTTCCCTTGTTTCTTTACAAGGACAACAAAGCATGGGAGTAATCCTCTGTATGTTGCAAAGTAAACCTCAATGAATGAATCAATGAAACACTGATTTATTTCTGAAAGTAAATTTTAGTTTTTCTTTGAGAACTTTTCAAAAGTCTCTGGCTCTTAAAGAAGACCTAAGAACTAGCCTATACATCATCCCCCAGCTTCTACAGAATCCCACAGTCCATCTGTCATTGAGTTGAAATTCAGTGAATATCCTGCCTGTATGGAATGGCCCAGGGGAACCGTGTCTGTCTGCCTTTTCCAGATTTTCAGTATTATTACCAATGATTCCGTACCATTTGGTCTATGCCAATTACGTGTAATCATCCTCCTCTTTCTGCTGCCACCTCTTTTCTCTGATAGCCTGGTCAGATCCCTGTCTTCCTGTGCCTGACAGGTGTAGAATTGAAAAACTGATCAAATCTGTATCCCACAGTGATGTGATGCTGATTGTCTTGGTAATTTTATAGATGTGGAAATGTTCCTGTTCAGTATGGGGGTAGAAATGCAGAATTAGTGACGTTTTCAGCAATATTGATATTTCTGGCAGCAAAACAGCGGTGGTATTTATGAAGTTGTAGTGTGAATGATGACTATCCCTCTGGGCTTTGCAAAGCAGTGTCAGAAGGTCAGGAGCTGTACTGCAGAGGAGAAGGGGAAGGGTCATGATGTGAAATCCACCTCTAGAATACACCTCTCATATAAAAATGATAATATTATACAAAATACACCTCTTCCTTCCTTCTTGGTACAAGGCAAGCGTGTTCCCTTCCTTGTCCACCTTCTCAAAGCAGAATTTATTCCTCTTAAATTGTGGATTACTCCTTTATAATGGATATCAGTAGCTCAATAAATAATGCTTGTTAAGAAAAGATGGGTCATTTTATGAGACTGTACCAGTGAGTACTTGTGAAGAAAAACATTGTGGCTTGGAGGCAAAAAGTACAGAAATGGAGGATAGTTAAAATTGCCCTGGTGTTCTGTTCAGCTACTAAAGGGCTAGGACTGAACGTGGAAGGTGGTTTTTACAGGAACTAGCGAACATGTTTGTTCTCTACTGAAATTAAATTTTGAGTTGTGCAACCTGTAAGAGTACTGATCAGGAAACAAAAAGCTTCTGTGTATTGTAGTACGCACTGGGAATAGATCTCTTAAAATGAGTATTTCTAAAATCAAATGCTTTAGGCAAACTTACCTAGAATAAACATATTCTCAAGCACAGCACAGATGAAATCAGTTTTCACTGTTTACAGAAAGCTTGCTGCAAGGAAGGAATTATCTTTGTTCTAATAAACCACTTCAAAAGTTGCTGCAGGTTTAAATGCATCTTTCATCACACAAGCAAAAATAACAACTTGGTCTTCTGTAATTTGAAATTAATTATGACAGTGCTTATAAACTTGTATCTTCCTAGGCCTGAGACAGTACTGAAAAATCAAGAGATGGAATTTGGCAGAAATAGAGAGAGGCTTCAGTTTTTTAAGGTATGTCTGTGTACCTGTGGGCTTTGTATGGTGTTTTAGGAGCTTGCTCCATTTGCCTACCAGTGTTCAGATTTAGATAATAAATGAGATTTCATCTTTTGGAAATGTCAGATTCTCAGATCTCTAATATGGGAGCAGAAAATTGTCTAATGACACGGCTAGTGACTTTGAATCTAAAAATTGTTAGGCAGCAGAGGTTTTAAAACTAGGTGTTGCTTAAAGGGGAGAACTTTTTTTAGTTCTAACTTTGATTTGGTTCTTGTCAGCGTGAAGGTAGTGGACAGAGTTAGGTGTCTGTGAAGCACTCATCTTTTCAGTGCTTTTTAATGAGCTGGGTGCCTTAAGTCACAGTGAGTTTCTGGATAAAAGATTCATTTATCCACACTTCTGTTACACATCTCACTGCAGCTGGAAGTGTTGAACAGAGGCTGGTGTTGAGACAGTGCTGCTCTCAAAGGAGGCAGCAGTGCTTGTAAACTCGGTTTTAGTGGAAGTCTTGTGTGGTTAACATCAGCTGCTTTGTTGCTAGCCAGGGATCTGCAACATTGGTATTTGATCCTCATCCACAATTTAACATGGTTTAGGAATCTGATGCAATGGTCTAAAGATCTTCCCATGTAGGTACACTAGGTTTCCTTCTTAAAGTTGCAAATTAGCTTTTGCATTATTAAAGAAAGAAACTAAGCTGAGTCTTGTTAAAGCTTTCATGTCAGCTGTTCTAACTCTACCATCCTGAGTTTGCATGTAGCAAGACGCTTTCCTAAGTTGCATCTTGCTCTCATCCAGGGGTGTAAAACCTAAACTAAATTCTGCTATAAACACAAGTGCTTAGGTTCTGTAGTCTAAATGCTAGCCTTAGCTGTGCGTGAAATTAGTTGTGTGAAATGGAAGGTAAGAGACTTACGCAGCCCTGCTTTGAAGGGTGGGTACGAATTATTGATTCAGAAACTGAATGGATGGTTTTGTTGATGATTAAGTATGTATAGAATCCAAGGGGATCACATATCTCTGTGTGACAAATGAGCAAAAGCCACTTCCATAAATAGCAACTACTGCTTTACTGCATATTGGTTTTGTCTTTTTAGTTGTGTTCTAAGAACTGAATATACCTTTGAAAAAATGCAACTCTTTTTGTTTTTTCTCATTTTGGAAAAATTACAGTGGAGTTCAAAGGTTTTCAAGAATATTTCCATAATTCCACCCGAGACTGGAATGGCACACCAAGTTAACTTGGAATATTTGTCAAGAGTTGTTTTTGAAGTTAAAGATTTCCTATATCCAGATAGTGTGGTTGGCACAGATTCTCATACAACCATGGTAAATGGCTTGGGTATCTTGGGCTGGGGTAAGTATGCTAAGAATAACTTGATAGCACGTTGAAAGGCATACTAAAACATTACTAAGAAATACTTTCTTCCACTGGATATTTCTTTCTCAAGAAGAGCAATCTGTCTTGAATTATTCTTCAGAATGTTTTTTGTCTAAAAGTAATCTCAACTAACATTTCTTCCCATCAAGAAACTGCAGTTTGTGATTTAAAGATAAAATAGCAAATAAGCAATGGATACTCAAATAAGCGCTCTTTGTACATGCACTGTAACACTCGTACGAAGGTTTATTTTCTCTTGGACGGTTAAGTTTAGTTAAAGTATTTTCTGGTTGAGAGTGCAGTCGTAAGTTCAGCAGTAGTCTCGCTTGATTTTATTTTTCACATACAAATTTTTAACAGAACTTCTACATTTTCTTGCTGTAGCCTTTAGGCTTAATAGGAAGGGGTTTATTAATTTTTAAGACCTCAAAATATTTAGTGTTGGTTACTTAAATGTATGAAAAGCAACATAATATTCTCCTTCCAGGTGTTGGAGGGATTGAAACAGAAGCAGTGATGCTGGGGATGCCGGTTACTCTCACTTTGCCTGAGGTGGTTGGGTGTCAGCTGACAGGCACAGCCAGCCCGCTTGCTACATCCATAGACATTGTTCTGAACATCACAAAGGTAAGAGTTCAACGCCTTTTCAAACAAAGCAAAGTTTGTAGCAAGTTCTACCAGTGGTTTGAGAGCTGAATTAAGTGCCGGGAGTATTTTTAGTATACCTTTAATCATGGTAATGCAGGAAGTTCCACATAATTGTAACCATTTTTATTTAGTAGTATTACAAAGTAGTGGTCTTTTAGTGGTCTTTTTCTTTTCCCTTTATAGTGGTTTATTTACAAGCCCTCTTTAACTAAAAAAATAATTTTTAAAAAAAGTATGTGTGCAGGGTTGGGGGCAGGGGAGGGAAGCCTTGTTTTCCATTTTTCTCCTGCTGACAACGTGTAGGCTTCTTCTCTAGCTCAAACTTTTTCTGGGCACCCTTTTTGTTCTAAAATATTCCTGCAAGACACGTGGCCTAGCTATGGTTGTAAGCTAGTGCAACTCAAGAATGTATTTTCTGAAGACAGGGTTTTGCCAGGGTGGCGTAAGCTGTCACTGTTGTTGTAAGTGAAGAGCTGGTGTCAAAGCATTGAAGAGCTGTGATTGCTTTGAAAATACTTTCTTCTTTCTGGCATGATGTTTTAAGAAGGATGTAGCTGTTCTTGACTAGGAAATCTGGAGAACTCAGTTGGAGAAGGAGGTGTGTTTTATTACAGCAGCTTCCAGTGTGGATTTTTAGAAGCCACTATGTTAATGGGGCTTGGGTTTTTCATGCAAACATGGGCCTTAAGTTTTCAGCTTTCTGTTTTAAATGTCATGATGTGATAATTGCGAATCATTGCAACAAACATGGCTTGCATTGTACATCTTCACCTAACAAATGTTGTTGTGTGCTCTTTTAAACAGCATCTTAGGCAAGCTGATGTCGCTGGAAAATTTGTCGAGTTTTTTGGGAGTGGAGTTTCCCAGCTGTCTGTAGCAGACCGAACCACAATAGCAAATATGTGTCCTGAATATGGTGCTATTCTGAGCTTTTTCCCTGTTGATAATGTGACATTAAAGCACTTAAAGCATACAGGTAAAGATGAAATTAAAGCAGTGATCCATTGTAATAGTGGTTTAGATATGTGACAGTACATTTTTTTTGCTTAAAACTCCGTAGATCTTGAACAGTGATTTTCTGCAGAGTTCTGATGTGGAGTTAATGTATAAACTCTGCTGTGCAGTAAGAGGCTGTCATGAGATCTACTTGGCTACAACTTTTATCCTGTAGAATCTCTTGCATCTGAGTAATACCTACCACATAAAATTGTCCCATACATATTTACTGTTGGCTAGTTTTTGGGATGGTTAGTATGCGGCAGTTGGGTCTGAGTTATTTACCTGCTTTATTGGCACAGTTGTTTTCTTGTGGCCTATTGTGTCTGCATGTATCCTGTGTATTTAAGTGAGGCTACAGGTTTTGTGTGCACAACACTGGCATGTGGTAGCTGACTTGCCCTCGAGGCTTGTGTCCTGTCTGGTTCATCTGTCTAGTACCTGATCTACTAACGTTATTTTTCAGTGTCCAGAGTCCTTGATTTTGAAAGCATATGTAAACCTTTAGAAGAAAAGTATTAAGAATGTTATAACTTACATTTTAAAAAGTGCATGGAATATAAGTCTTCTTAAAATGAAATGAATCCCTTGACCACCTGTAGTTTCCCTGCAAAATCAAAATCTAAAATGATTACCAGAAATAAGTGAAACTGCTAAACAAATCAACGTATTTGGTTCTTTTCACAATTTTTTTTTTCTTTGGAAGAGTGTTATTTTGCTGACACTTCAAGCTAGGCTAGAAGGATGTCCATTCCTTATCAAGCTACTGCAAATAGAAAAAGCCACAGGGTAACAGATATCAAAAAACCTCATTCACATTAGTAAGCCTTTCTGACACTGAAATCTGTCACTTAAATCCAAGTTAAACATTTTTAATTTAATAACAAACATGTTTTCTGTGGTCAGCAGAGCAAATGAAACACTTTCTAACAGCAGCCAGTCATGCTGGCTATTATCAGCTAAGAACGTGATCGATATGAAACAAGTAAATTTTAATAGAGAAAAACTTCATGAACTTCAGGGGCAAATGTGTAAATTTCATTAGTTACAGCAGCTAGAGTTGTAACAGCTTATTTTGTTCCTTGATATAAGAAGGGAAGTTAAGCTAATTAAAAAACCCTAAAACTTATTTTAATTTGTGTATCATTCCTGAGTAGCTGCTGGAGGTTGGGGCATCGAAGTGTGGTGTGCCTTGAAAAGTACTTTGGATGTTCAAGGACAAATCTGATATTCTTGTAACAGTCTTAATTTCTGTGAATTGTGTACTTTATTTACTTTTTTCCTGTGACTTCTCTCATATTTGAAATAACTTTCCTAAGGTTTTGACAAGGCCAAGCTTGAGGTCATGGAAGCATATCTTAAAGCTGTGAAGTTATTTAGAAATTATGAGAGTTCTTCCAGAGAACCTGAGTATTCCCAGGTATGCTTGTAATGACTTTTTTTCTGTATGTTTGAATCTTATAATAACTAACTACTGCTGATTCAGTGATTTTGTCTTCCAGTGTAATTTTCATTGCTTTAATAAAAGTTGCATTTATTGACACATAATTTTGAGAAGCAGAGTATCTTTGCACAAAATATAGAGGCAGTGGGGGAAGGAGGGGAAGTACAGTAATGTTCATGTCGGCTACCAGATCCGGAATTCCTGTAACGCTCAAGTGATCAGGTAAGTCTTATGGATGGTAGAAAAGTTAGGGGTGATGTTAAAACACGTGAAATAGATGAAGAGTCTTTTACAGTGAGCAGTCTTGAAAATGGAAGCCCAGAGTTTTAATGTCTCAGAACATTAAAATTTTAAACAAAAGAGGTCCTGGATGTCTCGAGTATATTCAGTGTAATGGTGGGCTGGGATTGATAATGCGTGCTTTTTCTTTGTTTCCTTTTTTTTTTTAGGTAGTGCAAATTAGTCTAAGTTCTATAATTCCGTATGTCAGTGGCCCCAAGAGGTCCCAAGACAGAGTGGCTGTCAATAACATGAAAAGTGACTTCCAAGCCTGCTTAAATGAAAAGGTTTGTACAGCTCATGGACTCTTCAGAAGGGTAGTTGCTGTAATCTATGTGAATAAATGTTGTGATATGTATTCCTTGCATACCTGCTGAGCGCTCCTTATTGCTATATAAACAGCTTATCCAATGAAACTCTTTTCTGGCTTGGCAAGTGTTCTGAGGAGAGTAGCTGGTGTGTTTTTCAGGAACATGAACTTCCAAAAATCCTTCATTTCAGTTCGATTGCTAGGGAGGAAAAACTTGATGTTAACTAATAAATAGCATAAGCTTGGGAAACACTTTCTCAGTTTCAGAGTTTTTTAAACAGCAATATTTTACTCAATTTCCAAAACAGAATTACCATAAGAAAAGAAAACTCATCGTATCTTAAAGGAGATGCAGAAAGACTTCCAAGATTTAGCTAATTGGTGTTCTGGGTTCTTAACTTAGCAAGCTTAACTTGACTTCACAGAGGAAATGTTTTTACTCTGAAGGAATATGCATAGGTATCTAGGAATGCAGCTGCAATCATTTTTTGTGTTTATCATTAAAGTTGAAGACTGGCAGCAGTATTAGAAACATACACACTTAGACACTGTAAAAATTCTTTCTGTTGCTTGGAGCATTTTTGGCTTGTGATGAGGTGTATAATACAGAAAGACAAGTTGTGCTGGAGAGAGAAGTCATGCTGGGTCACAGAATGGTTGAGGTTGAAAGGGTCCCCGGGAGGATGACTGAGTGCTGACGAGCTGGAGGGTGTGAAATGTTAATGACCTAGTCTGCTTCTAGTTATAAACCTCTTGCAATTAAAATCTTGGGTATGCTTCTAATTCAGAAGCAAGTATTGTTTACTATACTGAAGACAGGTACTTCTAAGGGTTTGTTCTTTCATGTATAGCAGGAACTGAGTGTGGGATCAGCTGTGCTTCTTGATTGGCATCTGTTCCCAACTGTTGCAAAGTTAAAGCAGTTGTGAAGAGAGGAGGATGAGAGCTCTGTAGATCTGGAGAGAGGCATGAACTGAGGGCTGCTTTTAAAATCTGTTCAAGGGTTCCTAATGGGACAGCTGGGTATTTTAAAATGAGGGTTCACTTGGTGTTGCTGTAATGTCATAGTTTCTGTGCTGTAATAACTGCTAACATGTATTTTTGTCATCTAGTCTGGTGTTAAGGGGTTTCAGATTGCAGCTGAGAAGCAGGATGACATTGTACCTGTTCAGTATGAAGGAAATGAATACAAGCTATCTCATGGCTGCATTGTCATTGCTGCGGTAATCAGTTGTACCAATAATTGTAATCCATCCGTCATGCTTGCTGCAGGTATGTTGTGACTAGTGACAACTAACTTGATCTTAATGGTGCTCCCATGTTTACACAGCCTTCACCTTCACTTCTGTAGGTTCTTTGTAATTATTTGACCTAAAGTTTTGAAACTGTGAACTTTGAGCCGTAAGCTTATGTATATTTGAAGGTTATATAACAAAAGTTACTTTTCAATAATACAGTGGCTAAATTTGTGTCATAAGGCAGTATTAACGATGGTAATTACAGTATATTTATGTTTGGTAGTATTTCAACAGGTAACCAGTTTCAGGGCTCTTTTCAAATGGGCGCACTTATTGGCACAGTTGATGCAGGCAGTTGACTCCGTCCTGGGTGATGGTGACTTGAGCTATAGTTAACCACAGAGTCTGGGCAGAAAATCCATATTGCTGGACAATTGCTCTGTGCCTTAGCCACTAGGGAAGGAGTACGCGCCCTACCTTCATAAGCTGCATACAATTTTCCCAGAACAGTTAATCCTCTGTCAGACCTTGCTCTCTTCTTTTGAGGTCCTTTGGCCAAGGCAAGCTTCCTTTTGAGGCTGTGTGGCCTGTATCAGAAGAAGAACAAATGGATTTGTACTGTCAGCTAGAACATGGGAAAGAGATGTTTGTTACAGAAAAGAATACGGGCATGTACGTTATGGGAGTGGGAACAAAAACCTGAATGGTATTTTTATGAGTTAAACTTTATTCAGGCAAGTAGTTGCTTTAATAATAAACTGAAGGTCTACTCATCCTCTGTTTTTTTAGTGCTTAGTGTAACTAAGGTAGCATCACTTAGATGTTCTTTTAAGGCCTGTACAAAACATAAGCTATCTCTCTTTTTGGTAGGACTCCTGGCCAAAAAAGCTGTTGAAGCTGGCCTAGTGGTTAAACCCTACATAAGAACAAGTTTATCACCAGGCAGTGGGATGGTTACACATTACCTCAGTTCCAGCGGAGTATTGCCATACCTCAGTAAGCTTGGGTGAGTTGTGACTTCCGACTGTATTTGTCATTTTAGAAAAATAGTACCTAAGGGCTTATGCAGGTTGATAAGTACGGTTGCTGTTTGCTTTGGGTTGGCTTGTTCTGAACTTACTAGATTGTCATTTTAACTACTTGCTGACTTAAAGCTGTGTTCTGCTCTTATTTTACTCCCACCTTAGAATTTACTGTGTGTACATCTCTACCTCATCTGAGCTCTGTTTTTTTCAGTAGTGATCTACTTAGTTGTAAGTGTCTTACAGGACAGGATGTACTTGTTTATAAAAGTGAAAACTGGGTATAAATTTGTCAGGACAGTCTGTACTAGTCTTTTCTTAACTGCTGCGGTCGTGGGTAATAAAAGAAAAATCTGTTTTGCTAATAAATTGCTTGTGATCATTCAGTGTGCTACCTGATTGCTTTCGTCCAATGTAGGTTTGAGGTTGTCGGTTATGGGTGTTCAACCTGTGTTGGAAACACTGCCCCCTTGCCAGAAGCCATCAGGAATGCAATAAAGCAGGTAAAGCTCTAAGGCTTGTTCAATACAAAAATATAGTTCTCACCCAGTTACGTGATAAAGAAATACAGTAATCTGTGCAAAATACACTTTATTGTTGGTTTGGTCTTTGCATGATGTTTTTGTGTATCTGCATGCCAGAGGGAGACCATGGCAATTCATTGCTGTGTAAAATAAACGTAATAGTATTTGTAGCATACAGGTATAAATTACAAGATAAATGCATAAGAGCTCATCTTATGGTGGGGACCAAGGAGGTAAATCCCTCCC